CAGTCACACAGTAACCAGATATAACCTCTGAAAGGGAAAAATAAAGTGCATACAATTGCTGTTAACCAGGTTCTCTTACTCATGCTGGAAGCCTGGCAATCACAGTGGCACTGAGTGTGGAATAACCTGGCTGTCACAGCCTAAGCAGAGGGTCCAAATCCAGCCAGCAGGAGAAGGTTATTCCATCCTATCTGAGAGAGGGAAGACTACTGCAAGAATTTTAATACATTCAGTGCCTGAAGTAGGTATTTGCAAAGGCTAAAATTATTACATGAGAAACAACAAGAATAAAGGCATTATCCATCTGACTATTCAGAACCATGCCCTGGTTTTCTAAGAAAACCATAATGTCATAAATAAGCTAAATAAATGTTCCTAGAGGTACAGAGTGAATCAAACAAAGAACACATCATAATAAAATCCAATGAAGAGAGAAAGCTCACAGGCATATTGTTTGAGTACTTGTTTCTGAGTCAGTTAACCAATTGTCTGTGTTACTATTACTGGAGACTGCACAGACCTCAAGCAAGATCAGACCCCAGCATGCTGGGCAGCCCTTACACAAAGAGCAGCCCTGCCCCAGAGGATGGATGGCAGGAAGCTGTGGGACCGAGCAGGAGCACTGCTCCCTCTGCTTGGCCAGAGCAGGAAGGCAGACACGAGGCGTTAAGTGACCCTCCTAAAATTACACACCATGCTTGCAGCAGGTCTGGGAGCTGAAATCAGCTCTGCCACAGCCCAATTAATGCCTGGCCCAGAAACCACACTGTTACTGGCTTTTCACTTCTACTTCCCTCGTGTGATTTTGTACAGCTTCAGTTGTGCCGGGGCCAAGTGGACTCCCAGGTCAGTCAGCTTATCTGGGAGGAACAGGAAAAATGGCAAAAGATGAACCATATGGAGAGCCCCTCTGCCAGCAACCAGGTCTGGCACAGAGAAAGTATAGTGGGGTCAGCCTCTTTCCTGGCACTACTCACAGTTAATTGAGGGATTTTGAAAGAAAGGTGGTTTCTAGAGAGCCATGTGGGCAGCAAGGGTGGAAAACTCCCAGCTGGGAAACCCGAGCAAGAGGGTTTGCACAGATGCCAGCGCTGCCTCACTCCAATGGGAGGAGGGACAGGCATTCTCCAGAGAGGGAAAGTTACATTTATCAGAAAGAAAATGAAAACACAACTGAATCAATTAAAATCTCTTATTTGGATGATTTCCTTTCACTTCAAAGAGAGCAGAAAATGAGCTTTAAACATCAGCTTATCTATAGATTAATAGGTAAGCCTACTTTGTTCTTACAGAATCCATTTTCATCCAGCATGGCTGAAAACTTCACTGATGCCATGTAGACTCTGAAGAACAGGCAGAACAGCTCCACTGGAACAAGGTACTCCTCAGCTGACAGCTGGAAGGAGCTGTCTTCCATACAGCTCAGTTATTGTCACCAATGATCACTGTATGTTCTGGGAAAAAAAGACAATTTGGAAGCCAATACCACGCCAAACTGAGACAACACATGGGTGAGATCTGCTCTAACAATGTCTGCAGTTGTTTCTTGTGACATAAAGATAAGGAAAACAAGAGGAAGGAGTCACCAGGAGTCCCCCCCAGCTAACCAAGAGAAAAGACAGGCCACTCCAAGCAGGTGTGTCCATGGCAATGATCCCCCCTTTTCCTCTACAGGTTTGAACAAGAGCAGCCATGTGACAAAAACACATCTGGGTAAGCTTGCATAGGAGAAACTGCAGGGAGAAATTTCTCTTGCAGTTTTTTGTTTTTTTTTTTTTTTTTTTGGGGTGGGGGGGGGGTTTTGAATGCCCCAAACCTCATGTTAAACTTCTTTTAACTCAATGACATAGAGAACTATTTGACCAAAGCTCTCAACAGAAGATTGTGAAGCCTCTTCAGTTACTCCTATCAGTTATGAGCATGAACACCATAGGAAGTACCTCAGGTGCAATTCCAGAGCAGCCCCTTCCTCCGAGGAGCCCCCAAGCCCTGGGGCAGCAGTGGGTGGTGATCAGAGCAGCTCATGCTCCTGTCAGATCCTGACACAGCACTGAGGGGAGAAGCCACAGACAAACCTGGCACCAGGGCCACACTCAGAGGTTAAAGTGCTGTACCAATATTTACAGGTCCTCTATTTGTTTCAAATTGTCTTTCATGCATAAAGGAGACATACCCCTCCTGATAGAAATATGAAAATTAGGGGAAACCACTGAAAAATAATGGTCTGCTTTTTTAGCAGTGATATTTCCTTATTCCACAAAACCTGGATTACCCTTTCCAATTAAATAAGTGGACCCATTTATAACAAGGAAATTAGCCTCTCTAACCCTTTGCCACTTCACAATTGAGCCCACTTAAGGACAGCTCCCGATTAAACACTGCTTATCCATCATCTTTACTTTTAATGACTTTCAATCTTTGAGAGAATAAAGAACAACATGCTGGGCTCAGTGATCCCACATGGGATATCCAATCCCTCAACTCTGGGCCCCTTTTGGAGCCAGAGCTTTCTTGGAGGAGGCACAGAGGGAAGATGGAGCTGGGTAGAGGATTAACAGCCATTTGGAAATCAGCAGAGATTTTAACAGCTGGCTCCAGGGAATGCAACCAGCATTGATACAGGTTTGAAACATTGAAACTCAGATTTAATTTGCCATTTCAGGAGACCTCATTCTTCTCCGGTTTGCTGTACCTGCAGGAAACATCTGCAGGTAGCTTTTCAGAATTACAACTTGCAAAAAGTCTTCTAAAAAAGCATTACTGTTAGGATGCAATATGAGGTTCTGCACACACATGTATTTATGGTACCTGCCAGGCTGCCCCTCAATATGCTCAGCTCAGCCTGGGGTCACCTAAGACCCTGCTTAGCTCTAGAAAATTGTACCTCAGGGAGATGTCCTGGTGACCTAAAGAGAAGCTAAATCTGATTTTATGGCATTACACAACATTGTAACCACTGGATGGAGAGCACTGAGCCAATGCAAATGCACTTTGCCTTTTCTAACTTCTTTTAAAAGTTTTTATCAGGGTGATTCTGTACTGGAAGGCTTTACACCAGATCAGCTGCTAACCTTGCCTGGCTCACTGCCAGCTGTCCTCCCACAATAGGCATAAAACTGATCTGAAAACAGAAAGCCACTTAAACTTTGCATCATTCATCCAGCTAGTTGGACAGAAGTGTGATTGCTCTGCCTCTCGATTCAGATCACATTTATCTCACCAGGTGCTGAACAGCCCCTCATTAATGATCAGAGCACCTGTGAAAATGCACCTTGGCCATGCATCAGCAGTGCATCACATCCCTTCTCTTGAAATTCTAAGGAATTTCCTGGAGTCTAATCAAATTTTATGCTAAAAAAAAAAAGGCAAATTAAATTTACAGCATGGAAAGTGCCTAGTTTTGTGCCATCTTAAAGCACCAACTGATCTGATAGAGGATTTCCCATTCATTTACAATAAAGTAACAGCTTTTAGAGGGCAGTGCTAGTGCTCCTCAGTGCAGTCACTACAATGATATGAATTCTCCAAGGAAGGCTTTTTACCCAACACTTGGCTTTTCTAGCCTTTCTTCCCTTTACCTCCTTTTCCTCTGTTACATTTGTACTTTTAAACAAGCCTTCCCTTCTCCCATTTGCATGCAGAAGAGTGGCTCCAGACTGGTTTGTACCAGTAGCTTTTGCCTCAAAATTAAACTATTTGAATTTAGGAGGTTTAGCAACACTTGTTTAAATAGGTACCAACAAATGATTCAGGTGATTGCAAATGCTCATTTCTCTGAAATAAATCACATTTCACTGTGTGACTGGAAGATCTGGATTCAAAAGTTTTATTCCACCCAGTTCTCTTCCCTGACTCTCACTTCTCACTTTGTGCCTGCAAGTGCTCGACACACTCAGGTAGCTGCTGGCCAGGCCTGGGAAAGTTTTGCTTTATGAGTCAGGAAGGAAAAAAAGAAAGGCTGTGGAATCTTCAAGGTTTTCACCAGAAAAGCAGAGAAGATAATCCAGAAAGACAACTCATAGATAAACAGGTTGGAAACAGTGGTTTCCAATACCAACACCACGGTTTTCCATGCTAGTATAAGAGAATAGAAAGAGCAAGGCAACATGAAAAAAACATGACTGACCATTCCCAAGTCCAGGTGTATACCTAAAGATAGTATAGAGGAAATGAATAAATAACCAAGCTTTTAATAAGTACATCAGTGCATTTATTAACCTGGCAGTGTCTAATGCATTGTGAGACAGGCTGGCTTCTGCTCCAGAGCCAAAAAATCCAGTAACACATGGAAATGAAAATCTGCAACCCCCAGCAAGCCCGAATCCAAAATCTAACTGCCAGAAAGATTGAAGCAAGAGGAGAGTAGGGGAAAGAGATTAATTTTGTAAATGTAAATAGTGGTATCACATTGAAGAGAGAAGAAAAACTGGAGGAGTTTCTTCAAAGGGCACAAATCCCCTTTTCTCTTCCAGCTCATGATATTATACACAGATAACCTGAATAGCCCTCAGAGCAGGAAAAGCATGTTTTTGACAGAGGTGGCACGTGTTGCCTGCACTGAGCCAACAAGTTTTGCCTCAGCCACACACAACATACCTGCTCCATGTACCCTCATGTGTGTGAGCACAGCAACAAAACATTCCTTGCTGTCCAGGCAGCAAATGTACATGGCAGGAAAAGCCTGGATCCACTGAGATCAGAGAGAAAGCATGTCTTGGTTCAGGTAGCTTGGGGTGAGTTTTAGTGCAGCAGGGCAGATCCTCACTGTCTCTGCACAGCCCATCTGCACACATCCCTGAGCTGAGAGGTGAAAGGCAAGAGAGATAAAACACCATGCAGGAGCTGAACAAGTGTTACCTATGAAAACACACACACAAATAAAAACTGCATTATCTGATAGAAATGGTAACCCAACATGACAGTAGGTATGAGAGTCAGTATATAGAGCCCACTGGTAATTACTGAAAAAATGACACCAGTTAAGTTACACAACTTTTCAACAACTCAGCATGCAAGACATGTTTATTTTGCACAAAGTGGTGTGCATTTTCCCAGCTGTACAGAAGAACATCCCTGGGTGCTGCTGGTACTCAGCACAGGCTGTTGACACCACGAAAGCAGTCCTGGAGTGATGGGTGTGTCTCCTAGTACAAAGCCATGTAGCTATTCATCTCCTGGAATTGAGTTTTATGTGATTCAATCAGCTCTAACAAGAAGAAATAGTAACACATTAAGCAAAGTTCTGAGAACATAACAAATCAAAATGCTGTTTCACTGCAGCTTCCATCAGCCCAGCAGTGGCACATTTCTTACTGTATCTGTTTTTCTGCCCCAGCACAGACAAATTATTGCTGAATGTTAGGATAAACCATGGTGCTAATTCCACAGCATCTAACACAGAAAGATGCTTCACATTTCTATTGAGCTCTCCAGTCCAGAATTTTAAACATGTTTTAATGCAGTTAACTTCTCTTCACAGCACCCTAATACATCAAGCCAAGACTGTCTAAGGATCAAACTCCCCAGGGATCATTTTTTGTCTCAGTTGCCCCACCAGTGCATTAAAATGCTTTGAGCTGTTCCAGGAATGGCTGACCCATCCACCAGAAGTGAACATTGGAGTGCAGAAGGAACACCACACATCTTAGTATTTTTGTCTGCTTCACACTATTGAAACAAAAGAAGCTCTTTTTCTGTAAGAGCTGTTGCATGCTTCATTAAAAATCCTATTTAATCTGTGGTGCTAAACTGGTCAGATTCAGCTCTCATTTACAGCAGCATAAGGATAGGGGTAGCTCCTATCATGCTCGTGAATTTACTCTGCTTTCAGAGATCCCCCTCCAAAGAATCTGACCAAACTGGTCTGATTTTCTCTCAAATACACTGACTCCAGATATTTGCAATTACTGCAATGTCACCAGTGTTAACTGTGATTTACACTTGCCTAACAAAATCAAAATTAGAAGCAGTGCACTTATAAGGAGAAAAGAGAGATTTAACACTAAAACACAAGGGGTCAACTCTTCTCTTGCAAATCATGGGTCTCACAAATCCCCATTTATTGGTGAAAGCATAATCACCATGCATTTGCAGGTGTTAACTAGAAGATTCACTGTTTTTTCTGATTTGCAATTATTTTACTGCCACTACATCCATTACTATCCTAGCCTCAGATGTCAAGTCTTTCTGAGCCTACTGCCTAGTTTTCTGTGAGAGATAATGCATTTTTATTTATTGCTTATGAAATGTTAGCAACCACACTGCCATTTCAATCTCTAATGAAATTACCTTCCAAAACCAACACAGGGCTCTTGTTATTACTAGGCTTTGATGTTGACAGAAAAACAGAGCAGAATTTGTGGAATTATACAGAAAACAGTAAACTGATATTAGCTACATATTCCTGTACAGCAATACAGAGATCACCTCTCAGATAATTCCCTCCATTTCTGGAGTGCTTAAGACTCTAATCCATACAAAACCATCCAGTTCTCCAGAGGAGAGGTGATGGAGAGGCAGAGGAGGGAATCTTCTGTGGAAGAGGGTATCTCCTGTCAGAGTAAATCCCATAGCTGCAGGAAGCCCAGCATGTGTAGGGAAAGAGCTGCTCATCACCAGCCAAACACAGGTTTCCTGCAAACCCACTGGGACATGAACCAACCCCTCTGGTGGGAGCAGAGAGAAGGTGTTGGAGGGTGGGTTTAACTTTAACTCATGTCCCAGGAAATCAACAGAACCAAGGGCTGATATGTGAACTCTAAGTTGAACAAAGTTTTTTCATATAAACAGCAGTTAGTTGGTTTTTAATCCCTCCGAGTTAAAGGATACTCACCGAAGCTGCTGTTGATTGAGCAGGGAAGTACCGAATCAGTGTAGCTCTGAAGAGATGGTTGTGCTATGTACTGTAATTAGCAGCTACCTTGAGGAGGAACTGATAACAACCAGCCAACATAAACCACCAGCAGCTGAGAACTGGCCTTGGCACTCTGGGCTGCAACTGGAACCTCTTACTTCTGGGAGAAAAAGAGAACAAAAGGCATTTTTGGTGGTGTCATATTTTTTCCCCTCTCAACACAGAAGAGTCCTACCAAGCATCATAAAACCAAGTTTACCAGCTTAGTCTTTAATGTATGCTAGTGTTAACTGATACTTTAAAAGAAGGAAAACTTTCTAAAGGGCAATAATGCATGAAGAGAGATATGTGCAAAGAAAGAAGATCTAATACTAAAAATAAATGTAGCTTTAAAAGATCCTTTAAAAACAGCTGTTGACGTTAGAGATTCAATTAAAATGTAATTAGTTATACATTCTTCTTTGAAATGAACAAGCATATTACAGCCTTCATCTACAATGAATTGCATTTTACATTCGTACCTTGCTTTTGCCTGTAAAAAAGGGAGGTTTTTATAGGAAGCATAAAGATAGGGTAGTTCTACCTAAAATTTTTGCAGTCAAAAAAACCATTAAATGTTTTTTTCAAACCAATATGTACAAAGCCACCTTCATTATGCTTTCAGCGTTCATAAGGTACTTCACAAGTGTTCTTAAATGCACAAAATAGAAGAAAAGATAGAGATAAATGGATGAGGGATGGTGCTTGCCATAAATTAGGATTCTGAATTAGGTCATTAAAGACGAAATCAATCTGACTCCTTAATTGCCATTTACCTGAAAGAGAAATGCACTGTAAACTGCCCACCCTGCACAGATTTGTACCGGCAACAAGCAAGCAATGGCTTTGCCTGGGGCTAATCCTATATGGAAGCACCCATTGACCTGGTTTTCTATGGAAACGCCACGGATGTTTTCAATTCCAGTGTGGAACTGCAGCCTGGTCATAGCCATCAAACTCCACATTAGACATTCATGCAGCATTAGGCATCCCCTGGCTGCCAAGGGCCACACAATGAGACATTGTCTGACCCAAAAGTCATGTAATTAGGCTGATGGGAACAACACCAGCCGATGGTGCATTGAGCATATCCTAATTTTGGATAGGCCATTCTTTGGCTGCCTGACTACCAGTTAGCTGGGGAAGAAGTGAAGCCTGCTATAATCAACAGACAACTTTGCAGCAGTGATGAAAGGGCTGTTTGGCTTGAAAATCACCACTGGGGAAAGGAAGGGCAGCCACAGAGCTGGGATGCTCTCAGAAACAAACACAAGACCCCACTTTTAAGCACTTCTTGTTTTTGCAGAGTGGGTGACCCTACCTTCTGGAAGCCATGTCCCCAGCTAGAGCTCCAGCATGTCCCAGTGATGGCCCAGCACTCATTAGAACATCTAATTCCAAAGGCTTCTGAGGCAGCAGCCAGCAGGGTGAACACAGAGCTTGAGGCAAAAGGAGAGAAGTGTGAAATTCCTCTCATTAGCAGCACTGCACATTTGTGCACAGGGGCACTCCTTAAAAAGTCTGACCTCCTGCACAGCCAAGGAAGAACTTTCCAAGAACCATGTGACTCCAAAGATTGAGGACATGGTCTGCCAGAGTAGGGTTTTAATTTAAATTAGTCATAGAAAATTTCATTTCTGTGGCCTGAAAACATCTTCAACTGTGTCAAACATGAAGCAGTTTCATAATTGCACGTGATAGACTCTTCTTTTTAAAGAAGTGGCATAAGTAGAAAGAAACACAAATGTTTGTGAAACTTTAAACCTCCCTGTCTGCACTTGTGTAACAGTTACAAATAACTCAAAAAAGTATCTTGTGACTTCAATTTGCAACAAGAACTGTAGCAAGACATTTAGGAATGTGACTGGTCTCTGAAAATTGATACAGGCAGCAACTGCATTCACCTCTTTTGTCAACTATGTACTCAAAATTATTACATGTTTCAAACTACTTAATTAGACCAAAGCTCAGACAAATTCAATTGTTTCCAGATTTTATTATTATTATTATTTTTCCTTTTTTAAACATGTAGTGTAAGACCTGCACAGTTGCAGCCATATCTTTATGGAAACAGCAGCGCAGCCACGAGGAGAAGAATGGACCTTGTTATCTGCATAAATGGTGAACAATTTCACAACATCAATTCCCTTCTGACATTTCCTGATGTACAATATCACTCCTCCCACCCACCTTCACCTGCAGGAACATCCAGCCCCTGCTGGATTCTGGACCCCATTGGATGTTCCTGGTAGCACTAACATTTTCATCCCCATTTTCAAGGGCAGCGCATTTAAAGTGTTACTAATGTTACACCAGAGGAGGCTGAAGTTGCCTTTCTGTATCCACAGTAAAGCCTGCTAGGACGATTCATGTATCACAGGAATCACCTATTTCTTCTGAGTCAAGCCCATCTCACCTCTAAAATGCCATGGGAGGATAGGAGATTCTTACACTCACCAAAAAAGATGGTTCAAATAATATTTAAAACCAGAAATCTGGGGGGGGGGGGGGAACCCCCCCCGGATTGCAAATATAATCCAGTGTTTGTTTGCTCTAGACCAATGTGATTCCACATGCTGGATTGTGGACTGATTAATTAGGAAGCATCAGTAATAGTACTTTGTACTTACATCAGGACTTCCACCTGAGGATACTTCAATAATGTCAATTCATTAATCTTCACAATACTGCCTGTAAGTAGGTGTCATTAGTTCATTCACAGATGGAAATCCTGAAGAACAGAAAAGGTGAATTTAATTAGCCAAAATGATACAATGAGTCAGTTAACAGAACTAAAGATCCTGAAAAACAGTCCTTTTTCTAACTCTTAGAGGGAGGTGATTTACTTGCCCTTTGCAGTTAAATCATGGAAATAATTACCACATGTGTAACAGAAACTTTTGTGACTCTCACAAAACCACTGTTTACAGGTCATGTTCTCATTGAAATTTTCTTTTGATTAAAATGGCTTCTACTGTTTAGTACACCCATCAAAATATAAAGAACATCAAAATGAAATAAAACTGCCACTAGATCTATAATGAACTGGAGCACTGCTACTATTGTCTGAGGTCTAAATTAAAGCTCTTTTGGTAGAGGGTAAAAGTGAATAAAACATAAAGACAAAGGACAAAATAAGAGATGACAGACTATTCACCCATTAATGGCCATCACATTTACAAGGCAATTGCCATTCATTCTAATACAAAGTGGACCACGCAATTCTACCAGGTATGAAAGGCAGAAGAGCCCTTGTACATAAGAGAAAAAAGCACTTTACTGTATTTTATCTCCATCACAAGCAGAAAACCAGTAATGAGGAACATCAAAAACCTCTTTCCATTCTCCATTGAAAACTAACAAAGCACTTCTCTTGGTGAAATCTTATCAAAGGTTATAAATTTTTCAAGACAGCTAATCAATCACATTTGCCATGGCAGTGGTATAAGATGTACTTAATATGAAAGTATTTAACTGACTAATTTTCCTAAACAATAATCATCTTAACAGTGGAGAGCTATAAGTAGTTACAAATGACAGGGCAAAAAAATGCTCTAAGAAAAAGAACCACAAAACCCACATTAGGGAGAAATACTACCTGTGTGCCCTGAATAAGTGTATCTATGCAAACAAACCTTACTTGCCAGTCTACTTTATGAGGGGAACTAAATCCTACAATTTCATGGAGCCCTAAACTCAGAAAAATGCAACCCAGGACAGATACTCGTGGCTTCTGTAGCCACATCCCCACCTGATACTCCTTAAGGCACAAATTCAATTTCTCATGATAGATGCTATTTCCCAAGACTGCACAAACCTTAAAGGATTGGGGCTCTGTGGTGCTCCCTGTATTGTACCTGTATGCATGTACATACCTGGGGCACAGTCAGAGCTGCATGTGCTCTACCTGCACAGATAACATTAAAGAATAATCCTACACCAAGTGCCTGGATAGTTTTGATACAGTTTCATCACAGGAGAAGCACATCATCATAGAACCTGTCTCACTAAGACCAAATAAACTTTTTGCTTTTTAATCAAAGTTAAAACTTAGATGAGATATAATTATTTCATATATCCAACTGTGAAAGCTTCATTAAAAACCTTACTATTAAGTAATAAAACTGCAATAAAAGTTTTTCCGTAATTACAGCAAGTTTCTCTTAACACCAATGCACTAAAAAGGGAAAGACTTTCTAATTGGTAATTTCTCTGGATGATTCTATGCAGTCAGCTGTGTACACAAGTACATATTAGATATATGATCACATTTATATATAACTCTATATGTTTCCTGGGTGTGAAGCAAGAGAACACAGAAGTTAGGAGTGCCTTCCCACATCACTCACCGTTGGGCAGAGCACATATTCACCTGCAAACTCGGGCCCTTCGGCACTTGCCAGGTGACTGTCATAAACAGGTAAACCAGAAATGCAAATGATTCTACAGACTGAAGCCTCCCTTGCCTACCTTAGATTTAAAATAGTCTTTGTTCTGTAAATTAAATCATCTCTACTCGAGAGACAACTCGAGTTACAGGAAACACAAATAAGCAGAGGCAGGGTGAATAATTCCTTTTTGCTATTTCTAGATCAATTAAACGCAGTACTCACCAGTGTGCCCTTCCAGCAGCAGAATCCACATTGTCTTCAGTGACAGCAAAGCATCATTTCAATTTCCAAAATGGCAAGACAAGGAGAATGGAGGAAAAAAGATGGGTGAGGGGGTTGGCAGAGAGGAGTGAGAAATATCAAACAAAAAGCAATTTGAATACCTTAGTGTGCTAGATTCTTATTGCTAAATTTAAAGCTTGCTTTTCACTCTCATTTCAATGGATTCACCAGAAGAAATCTAAAGAGTAAATTTAGGTTTAATTGATCATTATAATTTATTTTATTAAAATAATATAGCAGAAAGACCTTTCTTCCAGTAAAGGGTTCTGGCTTTGATGTCTGATTGTTATGCAAATTCTGTGAAGTACAAGATATGGACAGAGGAATAATTAAGTTTAGGACTTTGTCTATAATAATTCTTACATATGTAAATGTACCCTGGTTTCAGATAATGATGTGTACATGCTCTGGGAACCATAGAAATGTGTTGGGAAAGCCAGGAAACTCCCACAAATGTGCAGATCCTCACCAGTGCCTCCAAGCAGGGGCTGGGCCAGCAGGGCCAGGCTGCTGGCACGTGCCAGGGGCACCCACACCCCCAGCAGCCCCAGAGCCCCAAGGAGCTCTGAGCTGGACAGCCCCAGAAACAGCTCCAGCAGCGACACAAACACTGGACAGAGTGAGCTTTGTTCTGCAAGATAAACATTGACCATATACATCTATATATTTCAAAGCACTCAATTAGAAACTGAACTTTGCCCCTTTCTCAGGCTTTGAAATAGTCCGGCCCCCAACACAGGCTTTTATTCTCCTTTGGTGTGGGCATCCCTCTTCCTCTCCAGCTCCTGCACACCATATGGCTCCCGACCCTGGGACAAATTCTGCACTGATTTATGGCCTCTGCAGCCTGAGGGACTGACCCACGGCATAAATCCGGGGGGCAGAGCACATGGGCAGCCTGCACGTTCCCCCTCACACTGTGCCTGCTCCCGTGTGCTCAGCCCTGCCAGCCGAGGATGGGGATTTACAGCCCGCACTGGGAGCAGGTCTGGGCTCAGGGCACACCAGGGCAAACCAGCAAGCAATGAGACCCGGCACGATGGACACCACGTGTGCCAGTACACCCTGAAACACCTTCCAACAGAGAGAGGGGGAGGCACCAGCCCTGCCAGCAGTGGAGGGTCCAGGCAGTGGAGGTGCCTCGGGTGGGTGAATGCTGCTGAGCCCCCTGGCTCTGCCACCACCACAGGGCATCATGTTTGGAAGGCTGGGCAAAAGGCACTCACTGGATGACAAAGCAAGAGTAATCCACACTGGTCCCTCTGCAGGCAAAATAATTCCCAAGGAGGAGTGAACATAACCAGTTTTTAAGGCGCTACAGGTCGTCTTTCCATCTCGAGACAACAGCAGCATGTAAAGGGCCTGAAACAGCGTGCAGAGGCTGAAAAGGCAACCAGAGCCATGGACCAAGAGGGGATTGCCTTTGTTTCCGCCACAGCCTGGTAAAGAAACAGCAAGTCCTGCAAGATGACCAAGGACAACGAGGCCAGTTGGATTTACTGACAGGCTGGGCAGCCCAGGCCAGGGCATTCCCCGAGCTGCTGGCCAGGGGCTGTTCTCCAGAGGCTGCTCACAGCCATCCATAACACCACTGCCAACACCGGGGACACAGCATCTTATTTACATTTTGGTTTCACTAAGCTTGAAAACCAAGCAGAGTGATCAAATTCACTTTTTTATTTATAGTCATTTTCACAACTTCTCCCTGAAAACTCCACAGGATGTTTACACAGACATGAGAAATTGATTGACGCATCTTGGGAGCTTTTCCTAAACACCCATCATCAAGAAAATATACACATGGACTTAAACTTCCTCATCTCTAAAGCAACTGATTTTGCCAAGGGTTTTTTTCAGTATCTGTACCGCTTATGTATTTAAATACATCTTCTCTGCCACTCTTTGGATTCTTTTCCACAGCCTTGGGGTGGGGGGTTTCTACCCCTCATCAAACCCTTCAAGATTCCTGAGATAGATAGATGCAGCACTCAGCGAGGGATTTTAGCCCTATAAATCAGATGATACCACAACCACAGTTCAATGAAAGAAGCAAAAATCAAATCAAATCAAACAAAGAGATCCCATCATCCCCTGCCGCATCCTCCCTCCTCCCCCTTCCCACCCAACCAGCAGCTCTGGAGTCCATAAAGGAGATCGGAGCAGAGCAGCTCTGCCCATGCACTGCTAAGCACAAAGTAAAGCACATGAAATACGCTACGCACTCTGCGTTTCCTTTGCTGTTTTCACTCGCCCACTGCAAAGGGCAATGGCAAGCTCAAAGAGAAACATTCAGGGATGTGCGGCACCTTCTGCATCTGCTCTAACACGCCAACAGCACAGCTCCCATGGACTCAGCAGCACAAGTCCTGAGGGGCTTGCCCGGCGTGTCCGTGGGCTCGGCTCAGCTTCCCTCGGCCCAGCTCCGCTGCGGGCACCACAGCGCCAAACCAACTTCACCCGGCAATAAATACTCGATTCAAAGGAGCTTGTCAACACCAAGTACCCCAGCCACAGCTGCCACATACTAAGAAGCACAGTCAAGGACTCGGGGAGGCCACTGCAGCCCCTGCTCTGCTCCAGAAGTGCCAAGCTTGGGATGAGGTCCCTGGGCACGGCAGAGCCTGGAGCCTCCATCAGCACAGCGCAACAAAGGAGCCTCCCCTGCTCCCTCTTGCAGCTCCTTTTCAGTTTCCTATTTCCTATGCTTTGTCTGCCAAAAGTAACAATTCACACAAACCCAAGTACTTTTCATGACTAAAGATTATTTTAAAAAATAGTATTTTGTGCTGTGGAAAACCCCACCAATATAACACATCTTACAAAAAACTCAATTTTTTTTCATTAATAACATTTTATAAGGTATGATAGCTGGCAGGATTATTCTGGAAGCCTGTACCAGTTCCAGAAACATTAGCATGACACAGTTTAAACTACCAACATGTTTCACTGATACAAGCAGGAAACAAAAATTCCAGAAAAAACTCTCAGCAAATGAAATCAAATCACCACACAGAATACCTTTTTTTTCTGTAATATTTTATTTTATTTATATAGAAATACTTAAAAAAACATGAAGTAGCACCATTACTTAAGTTTTACTTTTATTATGTAGAACTTTAAATGTCAGAAAAATAAAACTCTTGATACAATTTCAAATCTTGTCTCAGCAAATATAATATTAGTATTTGACCATGAGGTTAAAGGCCCTTTATCATAAAATAAAATATACTTTGTTTTTAAACTTTGCTCAGTAAAGTACATTTAAGCTCAAGTAACGTCACCTACATATACATAAACAAGTGGTAAACAAATGTATTAAAATAGAAATACTAAAACTATAGTGGTGCAACAGAATTTTTGTAATTTCCACTGAATTCTATTTATACAAATGTTAGAAAGCTTCAACAGTTCCTTTTGACATATGTTTATACATTTCCATTTTTGTAATAATATAGAATAAAATATGCTTTATATCACTGAATAGAAAATATGCTGGGTGAAGCAGATTTAAAAGATTTTTTCTGAACCTATAAAATCTCCATCCCAACAGAATACTGTTCAAAGCATTACACATTTTATGGTTTGTAATTCCGTTCACAATTGTGTGATATTAAAATAATACAGTGTTCTTTGCCATAAGGCCATACTAAAATAAAAAAGATTTAACCCAGCTACAAAAAGTTCACTGAACTTAAATTAAAATACTTGTAAACATCTTTGCAATATGAAATATAATTTTTCAAGTCAAAAAAGAATAAAATACTTCAATCTGTATTAATGCAATTTATCTTTAAAACCTTTAAACGTTTTTAATATATATAAGAGATATGTTACAGTTTTGTTGGTTTTTTTTTTCTTTTTTTTTTCTTTTTTAAAGTCTGATAAAGCTGCAGTATCATGGTTTTTCACAGGAACTTCTTGCCCTCTCAAGAACATTCAGAAAAGTATCCACCCATAGATTTAATTATTTTGTAATAAGCATCCTAGAACTACCAGCACGTTTTACTAACAGTCCACACACCATTGTCATCATCATAAGCATCTTCTACTTTCAAATTTTTTTTCTGTTTTTTTTTTTTTTTCTGTTTGTTTGTTTATAAAAAAAGGGGAGTTTTGGAAGCTTCGTATTAAAGTACAGTGTAAAAACTAGCCTAGCACTAGAATGGAGTCGTCCGTTATTATTTATAGCATGCACCCGCTGTCACACCACCCCCCAGCCCTCCCTCGGCCGCAGCCCGCGCCCCCCGGCGGGCGGCGGCCCCGGCCCCGCCGGCCGCTCCGGTCCGTGCCCCCCGGCCCGGCGCTCAGGAGAAGATGCGGATGGCCTGGGTGACGGCGCTGTGGCACACGGGGCACTGCGGCTCCGTCTTCTCGCAGATGCGGTTGGCGCACTCCATGCAGAAGAGGTTGTGGCCGCAGGGCACCAGCGCCGCGATCACCTCGCTCTCGAAGCACACCGAGCAGTCGCGGCTGCCCTTCCGCCGCACGCCAGAGGAGGAGCAGGAGGAGCTGGACGAGGAGCTGGAGGAGGAGGAGGAGGAGGCGGAGGAGTCGGAGGGCAGCCCGGGCAGGTGGGCGCCCAGCCCGTTGGCGTACAGCGGGTAGGAGGCGGCCAGCAGCCGCCCGCCGGGGTCGCTGCGCACCCGCCGCGCCAGCGGGTGCTCGGTGCCGGCCGCGCTGCCGTGCAGGGGCGGGGAGAGCCGCGCCGGGGGCGGGGCGGCGCCGCGCCGGGGGCCGCTCACCAGCAGCGCCAGGTTGGCATTGGCGGGCGCGGCGCCCGGGAAGGCGGCGGCGGCGGCGGGCGAGGGCGCGGGCGAGGGCGGCGCGGCGGGGCCGCGCTCGAACTGCGGCCAGAGGAGGGCGGCCCCGGGCGGCGGGGCGGGCGCCAGGTCGAAGCCGGGCGGCGAGTCGAAGGGCAGCTCGGAGCAGCAGTCCGGGGAGGAGAGGACGTCGCCGCCGCCCCCGCCGTACACGTAGCCGTTGGCGCTGTTGTTGTTGTTGTTGCCGTTGTGCGAGAAGCTCAGCGCCGGGCTCGGGGGGCTGTAGTCGGCCAGGCGGGCGCTGCCGCCCCCCCCGGTGCCGCCCCCGAAGTAGGAGTCGGTGGAGGCGCTGCCCAGCGAGCTGGAGCTGTCGTTCCGGTAGTTGCAGAAGGGCTTGCGGCCCGGGGTGGGGGTGATGCTGGGCGGCGTGGGCTTGCTCCAGAGGCTGCCCGTGCCGTTCAGCTCGAAGCCCACGTCCGTGCCGTTGGCGTGGAAGTCGTTCTCGTCCGTCAGCTCGATGATGCCGCCGGTGCGCATGGCGATGTGTGCCTCGATCTCCTCCCGGGCCCGGTCCACGTTCTCTGGCATGCCTGTCACCTCAAAGACCGGCTCCTTGTCCCGGCTCGGGGTCACGATGTACGTGTGCGTCTGCTGCTGGATGCGCTTGATGGTCGCCCCCTTGGGCCCCACGACCAAGCCCACCACGCGATAAGGCACCCGCACCTGGATGGTGGTTTGGCCGGGCAGGTTCGGGGGGCCGGGAACGGTGCCGTTCAGGGCTGTGTTCTTGTTCCGCGAGGCTCGGATCATGGAGAAGTGCTCGGCCGCAGAGATGATCTCCCTGCGGGCCATGGCCACATCTTCCTTTCTGCCCGTCACAACAAAGAGCGGCTCCTCCCCGCGAACCGGGGTCTTGATGTAGGTGTTGGTCTTTGCCCGCAGAGCTTTGATTTTACAACCTGGGAACGAGATGCGGAGATGGAGGGCGAAGGGGAGGGGGAGGAAGGGGAGGTGGTGGGGGAGAACCGGTTACAACCCATTGTTTGGGTGCAGCTAGGGAGGGGAAAAAAAAAAATACACACCCACCCGAAACACATTGCCCCCAACCCCAGGTGATCGCTGGCATCTCGTCCGGGAGCCTCGGTCACAGTGTAAAGAAATGTCAGCCCACAGCCCTGGCACACGCCCAAAGGCATCGTAAGTGGCCACCGGCACATCTGCCATGCAAACTGCCCCAAAACTACCAACGTGCAGTTCACAGGGTCGGTAATACAGGGGGAAAAAATTAAAAAAGAGAGCAAAAAAAAATAAAAAAAAAAAAAAAAAAAAAAAAAAAAAAAAAAAAAAAAAAAAAAAAAAAAAAAAAAAAAAAAAAAAAGGCGTGCAGGAAAACTGCACCACCATAAAATAAAATAAAATAAAATAAAATGCAAGCAGCTCTCACAAACCAACACACCCGCCAGTCCACATTCCTGCTCAGCACTTTCCTTTTGGAAAAATAAAATCAGTTCTTAAGGTGAGGAGCAGAGGCTGTACCGAATGAGCCATATTCCCCACTGCGGATGCTTTATTCCAACCCCATTGTTCCACTTCTCCACTCCATTTCTCTTCCTTAAAAATAATCCACGATTTCTAACTTTGGGGTGGTGGAGAGGGGAAAGCACCGAGGCTCCCATTTTCCTCCCGTTTCCTCTTGCAAATCTTAACTTTTGCGCCGGAGGAAAGGACAGATTTTTATTATTTTCCTGATTTTTCCCCCAACCCGGCAGCTGAAAGTGCATCCCGAAACTGATGCATAACACTCCTCGGAAACATCACGTCTGCCGCTGCACTTTCTTTGTCTGGGGGAAGCAGCCGGCACTGGCCACCACCGCACGGCTGCAGCGTTCCTGGGAATGGCCAGTGTCGCATCTGAGCCGCCCGCCCGGCAGCGCGGAGGGGAGACCCGCGCCCCCACAGCCCCTCGCATGCACGCACCCACCTTGTCTCCCCACTATCTCAGCGACATGTTCCGAGCTGGGCACCGGGACGCATTCAGTCATGTTCACGCTCTTTTTCCGAGGCTCGTTGTCGTAAATGGAGCCCGTCTCGTCGTTGTCCAGCCCCAGCAGGGAGAGCTGATCCAGGGCGATCTGAAGGGCTCTTTGGTCATCCAGGGTCTCTCCCCCGCCACCACCACCACCACCGCCGCCGCCGCCGCTCCCGTTCCTCTCCATGTCTGCAAAAAGCGAGCTGGGCATAGTCCCTGTGTGTGGTGCACCCTCCGCCTGCGCTCGGCTCAGTAGTAAGAGATCAGACACAAAGGAGAACCCAAGGCAGATGGCCAGCAGGAGAGAAGGGAAAGGAGGGTGGGCGACTGCTGGAGACCGGGGAATTGTTGCCTTTTGCTTGTATATTTTGTATCTTTTTTGCTTTTTTTTTTCCTCCTCTCAGTGCAATCCGGTTTATAAGATGTTCTCAGGACCCCCCCCACGAC